TCCAATACTTTTTCAATGGATAGCTCTCTGATTGATCCAAATGTAGCTTCTATTGCTGGACAAAGATCTACTACTGATGTAGCAGATGCCTGGATGGCATTGTTTAATGACCCAAGTGGTTTCAACAGGAGATTTACGAGATAGAGAATGGCAATAGTCAGGATGGGGAGGGATGCAATACCATGCTCTGAGTGTCCCTAGGCTGTTGCCAGAAGCTGGGAATGGGCAACAGGGGATGGATCACTTGATTACCTGTTCTGTTCATTCTCTCTGAAGCACCTGTCCTTGACCCTGTCGGAAGACAGGATACTGGGCTATATGGACCACTGGTCTGACCCAGTATGACCATTCTTATGTAAAAGTTAATTATAATAATACAGATGTTTAGTACAGAAACTCCCCAACATAATAACCTCTCAGGATAGCAATGATGTGAGATGACAACCTTGGCAAATAATGCATCTTAAAAATCTTGGCCTACTAGGAAACACATTTATATAAGTTTCCATTCCAGTCACAAATCTAGCATTCTGGAGCAAAGTCACTAAAATATAGTCCAACAAACAAATGTTTATTTAACGTGCCCCTCATTTTTCCCTCCACCTCACCCCACTCACCAATGTTGTCCTTGGTCAATGGAGAATCAGAGTTCAGAGGTGCTTTCATGTGACTACACCTCCCAGGTGGGGGGCAAGAAGGCACCTTGCTTGTTCCTCCAGCCGCTCACTGTTCGCTCTGGCCACTGTTGTTCATTGTGCCACCGTTCACTCCATCGCTCTGTTGCCAATGGCCCTGCACCGTGGCGCTTGTGTAGCGCCTCTTAAAGTTAATTCGAACTAACGTCCGTTAGTTCAAATTAACTTTGTAGTGTAGACATACCCTCAGTGGGGGAACCTCGCTGCTAGTGCAGTCTGAGCTGTCTCTTACACAAAAACACTGTACCCACAGGAACGCTGTCGCCACAGCAGGGCTAAGCACTTAGACCTGATTATCAGTGATTTCAGCTGTAGTGGTCACGTAACAAAACACAAGACTATATATGGAGCCTAATCAGCTCTGTCTTTAAACAGTGGAGAGGGGCAGGTCAAATAGTACTTGTGACTCAGACAGACCATCAAGCAAAACACCTGTCCCCACCCTCTCTCTTGATGCCCTCAATCAGTACAGGTTAAGTACAGTTCTACTGACCTTTACTCATACAAGAACAACAACAACATTTCATCCCCCCTCCCCCCAAAGTGATTTGTAACCCAACCCCAGCCAAAATCTATTACTTGGGCAACACAGCTCTGTTTGCTGGATACCTAGGTAGATTAGGTATGAATGTAAATACAATCTAGTCCTGAAGCCTTTCCCCCCAGACCCCAGCTCATCCCTAGCTGTCAGGGAGAGCTCATTTTGACTTTGCTTACAAATCATAATTTGAAATTATTAGGTTGGCCAACATCACCAAAATGAATGCACTGACATTGTCATAAAAAACAGCTGTACAGGCAGTCCCTGAGTTACGCAGATCCGACTTACGTCGGATCCACAGTTACGAACGGGGCCCTCCCTTTCCCTGGTCTCCAGCAGACCAGGGAGAGGAAGCAAAGCGGCGGAACACGCGGGCAAAATCTATTATAGTTTTTCAGATACACATATCTTACACACTGTATATGCTTTTGAAGTCTGTATTAATGTTTCAATTTCAATTCAGATTTCCAAACAATCACTAAATTGGCATGTAATAATGAACTGCTCGAATGCAATGCGTTCATCTTTGGTGGCTTCTCGTATGTCCGGTACTTCTATTCCTTCAGTTAATATGCTCATGAGTTCATTCGCATGATCAGGCAGAAGGTGACTTCTTTCAGAACACAAAATTCTATTCAGTGATGAAAAAGAACGTTTAACTGTAGCTGTTGTGACTGGCAGTAGCAAGAGATGAATTCCTACTTCTTTCATCCCAGGAAACATAGCACAAAGATCCGGTCGAGCCGCGAGTGATGATAAAAAAGAAGTTGAAGTCAAATCTTCATTCGTCATGTGATATTCCACTCTGTGTTCTAATTCTCTATTCTGTCCTGAGCACATGGCAGCCTCATTGTCAGTAGTGCCTCACTCCACTCAACTGTCGATGTTTTATAGGACAGGCATCTGTAAAAGCTACGTAGAGGTTGAGTAGGATCTAGAAGTTGCTGTTGTAGATTTTTAAGAACTAAGTCTGTGTACTTTTTCAGTTGTCTTAACAAACACTTCTTTTCCTCTTCACTTAAGGATTCCATATAAATGCCTTCATTAGTCAACTTCTGGACTGAAATCTTTGCTTCTTCCAATACTTTTTCAATGGATAGCTCTCTGATTGATCCAAATGTAGCTTCTATTGCTGGACAAAGATCTACTACTGATGTAGCAGATGCCTGGATGGCATTGTTTAATGACCCAAGTGGTTTCAACAGGAGATTTACGAGATAGAGAATGGCAATAGTCAGGATGGGGAGGGATGCAATACCATGCTCTGAGTGTCCCTAGGCTGTTGCCAGAAGCTGGGAATGGGCAACAGGGGATGGATCACTTGATTACCTGTTCTGTTCATTCTCTCTGAAGCACCTGTCCTTGACCCTGTCGGAAGACAGGATACTGGGCTATATGGACCACTGGTCTGACCCAGTATGACCATTCTTATGTAAAAGTTAATTATAATAATACAGATGTTTAGTACAGAAACTCCCCAACATAATAACCTCTCAGGATAGCAATGATGTGAGATGACAACCTTGGCAAATAATGCATCTTAAAAATCTTGGCCTACTAGGAAACACATTTATATAAGTTTCCATTCCAGTCACAAATCTAGCATTCTGGAGCAAAGTCACTAAAATATAGTCCAACAAACAAATGTTTATTTAACGTGCCCCTCATTTTTCCCTCCACCTCACCCCACTCACCAATGTTGTCCTTGGTCAATGGAGAATCAGAGTTCAGAGGTGCTTTCATGTGACTACACCTCCCAGGTGGGGGGCAAGAAGGCACCTTGCTTGTTCCTCCAGCCGCTCACTGTTCGCTCTGGCCACTGTTGTTCATTGTGCCACCGTTCACTCCATCGCTCTGTTGCCAATGGCCCTGCACCGTCTCCTTCTGCTGCCACCTGCCACTGTGAAGTCTGCAAGTGGGTCTCTTGAGGTTCCACCCAGCTCTCAGTGATTTCATCTGAGCTCTCAGTGGGGGAACCTCGCTGCTAGTGCAGTCTGAGCTGTCTCTTACACAAAAACACTGTACCCACAGGAACGCTGTCGCCACAGCAGGGCTAAGCACTTAGACCTGATTATCAGTGATTTCAGCTGTAGTGGTCACGTAACAAAACACAAGACTATATATGGAGCCTAATCAGCTCTGTCTTTAAACAGTGGAGAGGGGCAGGTCAAATAGTACTTGTGACTCAGACAGACCATCAAGCAAAACACCTGTCCCCACCCTCTCTCTTGATGCCCTCAATCAGTACAGGTTAAGTACAGTTCTACTGACCTTTACTCATACAAGAACAACAACAACATTTCATCCCCCCTCCCCCCAAAGTGATTTGTAACCCAACCCCAGCCAAAATCTATTACTTGGGCAACACAGCTCTGTTTGCTGGATACCTAGGTAGATTAGGTATGAATGTAAATACAATCTAGTCCTGAAGCCTTTCCCCCCAGACCCCAGCTCATCCCTAGCTGTCAGGGAGAGCTCATTTTGACTTTGCTTACAAATCATTATTTGAAATGATTAGGTTGGCCAACATCACCAAAATGAATGCACTGACATTGTCATAAAAAACAGCTGTACAGGCAGTCCCTGAGTTACGCAGATCCGACTTACGTCGGATCCACAGTTACGAACGGGGCCCTCCCTTTCCCTGGTCTCCAGCAGACCAGGGAGAGGAAGCAAAGCGGCGGAACACGCGGGCAGCCCAGACGCGTCTGGGCTGTCTGCTGCCCGCGTGCTCCGCGGCTTTGCTCTGCTTTGCTCCCCATCCCCCTGGTCTGCAGACCAGGGGGACGGGGAGCAAAGTGGCGGAACACGCGGGCAGCAGGCAGCCTCAGCCGCTGTTGAAACTGATCAGTTTCAGCAGCGGCTGAATCTGGACGCCAGTTCCGACTTACATACAGATTCAACTTAAGAACAAACCTACAGTCCCTATCTTGTACGTAACCCGGGGACTGCCTGTATAAGGAAGCTAATCTATGTTCATACTTTTCAAATCTATTCTACTTTTTCAGATACACATATCTTATCATATACTGTATATGCTTTTAAAGTGTGTATTAATGTTTCAATTTCAATTCAAATTTCCAAACAATGACTAAATTGGCATGTAACTAGTTCACAAAACTGGGGAGAGGGTGTTGGGGAAATTCAGGGGGGGTATACACCCCCATGGGGGGAGGCGTGTAGGAAAATCCCTGCTGGAGAGTAAAATGAGTAATTCTGTCTTAATTAGGAGGCATCTTAGGAGAGAAGTGCAGAGGAGAGTCATTGCAATGTCAATTTAGGGTAAGGTCTGTCGATCAGCATGTTTGGGAAGCAGCCTCAGAGGGAAAGCATTCAGTCCTCACAGCTCCTTTGACTTGTTCCTAGGTAAAAATTATCACCCTGTTCTGGGATTCCAGACATAAGAATCTGTGCTTTGGTTATGAGTGTAAAAGTGCTTCAGATGAAGATTGCTCAGTGGACAAGGGCGGTTGTGATGACATATACTTACTAGTTTGAGCCTTAAATGTCTTTGCTCCAGTAATCCACATTATAAAGCACCATGCAAGGAGGGGGTTAGGCTAAGGATTGGAAGATCCGGTCAGGGCCAGGGCATAAGGCACGCTGGCTATCAGTGTGATAAAATTCACCCTATACTAATCTCAGGACCATGCTGTTAGTGCCTCACCCTTTTTAACCCCAGATAAATGAGAGTGCAGGAGCACATATTACGAACTGGAGTATCTGCTGCCAGTCTCATGGTCCCATTCTTTCTTGCTTTTCAGGTAACAAAAAATGAGCGCCAGGTGATGAAACCCTTGTATGATCGATATCGTTTGGTCAAACAGATCCTCTCCAGGGCCAATGCCATCCCTGTTGTTGTGAGTATAGCACTTCTCTGGGGGTTGCTTTGGGTTGGTGAGGGAGGAGAGGAGAGGAGAATCACTCGTCTGCACCCCACACAGTTACAGAGGCCCAATCTCCCACGTCCCCACAGAGCTGAGTATCTGAATGACTTCAAGTCAAGTGATACCAAAGCAACTGGAATAGTGAAGAGCTGGTTAAGGACTCCAGTGCCCGTAGCTGGATGTTTAGCTCTTTTCACCTTGTGGTTGCTGTGGTTTTTTCATTATGTTGGTTTTGGCTAAGGCCTCACCACCTTTTTCCTCAATATCATAGCCTGTGTGGGTCACGTACAGTGGCAGGAGTAGAGAGATCTGTGTATTGCCCACACTACTGAAGGGCTCAATTACACTAGCAGCTAGCCTGCCCAGTTAGTCCCCATGGCTGAAGGAGAGGACAGGGTAGGCAGTACCCCAACCCTCAGCTCTTACTAGCAGAATGTATAAATGGTTGCTGCTTTCTAAGTTGATGCAAGGTGCACTAGCACGTCCATGGAATCCCATGCATCGGTCTTGCTGGGCAATTGTCATCAGTTCCGTGAACATGTGTTTTTATAGTCAGTAGCCCCGATGTGAGGCTACTTGTGTTATGCAACTTGGTATCATCCTCATCACTGGCTTTAAAATTATTGTAGTGTAAAACACATTCATTTCACCAGTGAAAGTAAGCTGTTTGGTGTATGCCTGCTCTTTGTTTTATGAGCTACCCCATGTCTTCTGCCAGGCCATGCTTATGTCTTGGCTGCTGTTCTAACAGTGTTCCTGTTCCAGAAGTACAGACTGGTGAAGAGTTTTTCAAAGCAGGCAGACACACTTTCCTGGACAGTCTCATGATGTCCTGCTGTATTTTAAAGAAAAAACAAAACTCCTAGCATCGCTATTGTGAATGTTTATCTGCATGAACGAGGCATGTTAAGCCAGCAAGTAGAGGGATGCCATCCAACCCAATGGCCATCTCTTAGCAGTTTAGAGCCACCTTTTCAAAGGAACTCAGTTCCCGTTCCAGCGCCAGAATTTCAAAGGTGCTCAGTCAGCACCCACTAGCTGCCAATGAGAACACTGGTGAATGTGTTTTCCCTTCCCCAGCCCTCTAAGAACAGTGAGAGCTCAAGGCAACAGAGTACCTCTGAAAACCTGGGCGTGTCAATTAGGTGCCGAAATGGACTGAGCTATTGAAAGTCTGGATTCCATTGAGAGTGCTGAGCTCTCTTGAAAATTGGCCCAGCTGAGCTTTGCAGGGCATACAAGGTAGCTAGCTAACTATGGGGTTGCTTTTGTTGATTTTTTTTTTCTGAAAGTATTTGTTTTCCTGCTCATACACAGCTGGCCCTTCCGTGCATAGTGTTTTGTTTGTACTCATGTGGCACTGATGTCTATTGCTAAGCAGCAACTTTGAAAAAATCTTTCTCTGCTTCAAGGTTTTTGCCAGAAGTTTTTTTCTGTTTAAGAAGCAGTTTTCTTACCATGGTCTGGATGAGTCACAAAAGTCATGAAGATGAGAGGAGAGCAGGCGGTGGAGGAGAAAGGGGTTCACAATGTAACATACTTGTTAACACCTGTCACAGGGTTCCCCCTCCAGCAAGCGGAGAAGCCCTTTGCTGCAGCCAATTATCGAGGGCGAAACTGCTTCCTTCTTCAAGGAGATAAAGGTGAAGACCTCCAGCTGCTTAACTAATTGCTCAGTCTGCATCAGTTTCCCCTTCCTGACAATGATAGAGATTGATTTTTTTATTAGGATTGGTTCTTTGCAGTGTCTCCCTTCTGGGGAAAAAAAACCCCCAAAATAAAACACAACAGTTGCCATTTAAGCCTAGCCAGTTTTGAACAAATCCCTCCTTTCTGTTAATGCAGATCAGCCTACAATATTTTCTTGGCTTTGTGTTTTCCCTCTCCACATGTATTTTACTTTGTAAAAACTTCACAATTATTGATTAGTTGCACATCTTTTTCTTTTGAATATTCCTCTCAAGCTTTTTGCTGTTCTTTTTCTCACACCAAAGCTCTAAGGCTTTTATGCAACTCTATATTTAGGTTGTGTTTTCCCTTAATACGAATAGAGTTTAGACTCACATGCATGTATAGGTTATGGACATTAACCCATATCTGTTTGCCTTCTGGGTATGTTCAGTTCTTATTTTACACTTTTGAAAGTGCACTTCTAGAAGCAGAGTAAGTGAATATTTGATCTGGTTTGTTTGGTTGGAATTTTTCACCCTGTGCTGTCATGGCTTGGCATTTCTCAGTGTTGAACACTGATATCCAGTCACTGGGACAGGTTCATTACTGGCCTAACTATATGTGCCTTAAATAGTTAACTTAGCAAGGATGAATTTGATCCATATTACTTTTGTTCAAGAAATTCCAGTTGTGAGCACCTAGAATCTTAGCATATGACACAATTATCTGTGTGCATTTTTATTATCAGTTTGAATGAGACACATGCTGCAGTGCATTCTGATTTCATTTCCCCCTGCCCATTTGTCTATTTACCATTCAAAAATATTTTGGATACCATAAACTAAATATTCTTTGATTTATATTTAATGGGATAATTATTCCAGGCCAAATATTAATTGCATATATGAAGTACATATTAGTGTAATTAAGGTGAAGCTACAATATCATACATGTTAAGTGGCTGTGCATTTACATGGCTGATTATTTCTCAGTGAATTGTTCTTAATATTTAATAGATAATTTCTGAACCAAGCCTGAATTAAGGGCCATATTTTTTTAAATGTCCTTTAATTTTCCATCATCAACTTTGTGCTGTGATTTCTTCCCAGCTGAAGAGAACGTGTAGATGTACCTGAGCTAGCTTTGATTTAGTTTGCATGAGTACCAGCAGAGCGAAGTTGTGGCTGTCTGCCAAGGGCTTGTCTTCATTTAACACACAGTAGGAGCTGAGCTATGCGAGGTCATGGTGGCATTTTTGTATAGATGGTACCTGTGCCGATGGGAGGGTTTCTCCTGTTGGCATAGATAGTCCACCTCCCCAAGGAGTCAGTGCCAGGTCAATGAAAGAATTGTTCTGTCAATGTATCTCTGTCTACATGGAAAATAAGGTGAAATCAACAGTGCTGCTTAGGGAAGTGGATTTTTCATACCTTTGACCGATGTCATTAATTAGACCCAACCTTCTTGTGTAGCTAGGATTGTGTAATTAAACAGAGTCCCAGAGGGGTTTGTACAGCCCACACCAATGACCCCATTTCACTTCTCTTGGTGCTCATGCTACCTAGATTAAATCACACTGCCATTTACAGCGGGTGGGGAACCTTTTTAGGTTGGGGGCTGTTGGCCCACAGAAAAATCAGTCGGGCACTGCACACAAGTGAGAAACAACAAAACAAAACCCTCGCTGCTGTGGCCCCGACTGAGAAGAAAGATACTCCTCACATTCCCCTCAAACACCAGAACCTAGGGAGGGCCCGGCCTAGTCAATTTTGTGAGCTCCAGTCCGAGGGCAACAGCGGGAGGGGGAGGGACTGGAGTGCCAGCGCAGGCTCCTAAATGCTGTAGGGGGGAGGGGGGAGGCCTGGGACTGGAGTGCCAGCGCAGGCTCCTAAATGCTGTAGGGGGGAGGGGGAGGCCTTGAGTCTTGGGGCTGGATCAAGGCAAGCCAGGGGCCACATCAGGCTCCCAGGCCTGAGGTTCCCCACCTCTGAATTACGGTGTAGACATACCATGAGTTCTCTTGATACTTACCCCTGCAGTGCAGTGCCCATTTGGAGCCCGGTGGGATACCAAGCTAAGTGTGATTATAGAAGTTCACCAGCTGAGTGCATGAGTCACATGGGGAGCTACAACCAACACTCCCAAGAGCCACACTGGCATCCCCAACATTTCTGGGTGGTGGTAAGGGAGCTGGTGTTAATCCTTTGTGCCTTACTAAGACACAGCTAATTGATTCTCCCCATGTAAAGTCATTGCAGAGGTGCTCCAGCTGGAGTTCCCTTGGGGTAAACCAGAGGGGCTGCCAGCAGGACATTGTCTCTGAGTGCCCCTTGGCTCTAGAATTTGTTTCCCTCTTTGGCCCAGCAGATACAGGATTAGTTACCCATCCAGGTAAGTCGCAGAGCCTGTTTTTCCTGACAGAATTCTTATTTTCTTACGGAATTTGTGGGTTGGAAATTCTAGTGCAATTTATATGGGGCTGTCTGATGCAAGTGGGTAGGCTGCCTTTTAGTTTGAGTGGGAGTCCATTTATTGGAAAGCTGTTTACCAGGAAAACTGATGCACTACAGTATTGGGTTTAAAGTGTTATATTTGTATTTATGGCTTTTTTAGAAAGATGCCCACAAGCATGAAAAAATAGCAAAATGGATTGATCTGCAGATACAGATAGTTACATGCAGCTCCAGTCTGTAACTATTGGTGCACATGCTACAGAAGTTTTGATTATGATTTGATGATTATGGGGACAAATTAGAGACCAGGTCGAGGCCCATTTAAATGCAAGCTACTGTATGTTTGTCTGAGGCATTTCCAGCTGAATTCTTACTAAGTAACCTTCTGATTTGCTCCCTTCAGTTGAAGTCTTTGCAGACGATCTGTGGCCATAATTGTAATGTGAGGCACTAGTGTCCCGGATAAGTGACAATTAATTCTGTGCTGTGTCTTGCCATCCTTGTAATGCCGGGTGGCATAGCTTGTTAGCATGTTTTTGAATTGCACTAATTCTTGGCAGCTCTGACTGTGTGCAGAGCAGGTAGAACTGAAACAAGCCACTTGAACCAGCTCCACCCGGGTAGGCTGCATTGATTTATAATCTCCATAGTTTTCTGTAGGGAGTGGGGAGTTATCTATTTTAAAATTAGGCCAAATTGTTTCCTCTACTTGTGGAAAATGTGTTGCATAGTTCATGATGAGTTATGAGTTCACTTCAGTCCTTCAGGGTGAAATGCCTAAACTTTTCTCTCTCCCACTGACAAAGGAGAGTAGTAAACTCTCCTGGACATCTGAGGTTGAGCTGTTTCCCCTTTTTCATCATAATATTTAGAGCTAATATACACAGCACATTGGATACACAGACCCATGTACTGATTTCTGAAGTAGTCAGCAAGATGAAGTGTGAGAAAAGTACACAACTAAAAGCACTGGCAATCATTCTTCCATGGTGCAGTTTTATAACTGGCAGTGAAGCTGTGTTATGGTCCTCAAAAATCATGTCACCTGTTCCCTGCTGTTTCCCTTCAGATGTTTTCAGGTTTCTGTTTTTATTTAGTTTCTCTTGTGATTATTCCAATCTGTCATAATTCTCTGCGGCTTCACCTTCTTGGGGGAGTGATAGCTCAGTGGTTTGAGCATTGGCCTGCTAAACTCAGGGTTGTGAGTTCAATCCTTGCAGAGGCCATTTGGGGCAAAAATTTGTCAGGGATGGTACTTGGTCCTGCTGTGAAGGCAGGGGACTGGACTCAATGACCTTTCAAGGTCCCTTCCAGTTCCAGGAGATAGGCAATCTCCATTAATTCTTTTTTTCTTAATTTTTTTATTCTGTTTCTATGGGAAAGGCCACTGACCTCATAACACAAGATTACAGGCCAAATCCAGACTGAGCAAGGTCTGAACAAACCCCCAACAGGTTCCTCACTTGGGAGCACTTGGAAGTGGGGGTGTAACTGGATATGCAAGCCTTTCACAGTCTGTAGCTGCCCACAAAAGGGGAGCTCTCGCTTAGCTGTGTCCACTACTGTAGCTTGAAGGAAGCGCACACCAGAGAAAGTATTTCACCTTTTCAATTTTTTCAGTATTGTATCTTTCCAGTCAACAGATAATATGTTTAGGGACAGAACTGTTAGCAGATCAAGTCAACAACAGCTGTGTGTGCAGTCGGTCAGCCCCGCTGTTTTATAAATGAAATGCTAAGTTCAGTATTATAGTTAATCAAGATAGACAGTCTAATTCTTAAACTCCTCCACTGAACTGAATTATCACTAACTAGATGACCTTCTGAGGTCTCTTTCAACCCTAATCTTCTATGAGTCTAAGATTTGTAAGTCTTTGTTGCAACACAGGTTAGTGCTTTGCTTTTTGGTTCTGACAGGTCTCTTATTGTGTTCTATACTCTTCTATATGCAAAAGTTATCTTCAGCTTGCCATGTGCTATAGAGCCTATGGGAAACATCCATCACAGGAGAGGTTTCATGGAAATTAATGTGGCAACTTGTGAATTTGTCACAACTAAATCACTGATGGGCTTAGGCATGGAGGATACAGAGAGAAGACACTGGTACCACTGAGACATTATGTCCATTGTTTGTCAAGTTTGGAAATGCTTGTAGCTTAATCAAGAATGCTGAAAACAAATGAACCAAAAATAGCAGGCTACCAAGAATTCTGATTTTTTTTTTTTTCCACCAAGGTGATTCTGCCGTACTTTGTCTCCCTAACAAAGCTGAATTTGTGGTGCTGGTTTCTACTAATAATGGATTGTGGGAGAGGGATTATGACTGATATTTTAGGTGTCTGTAAATTTCTAGAGCAATTAAGGTGCTTACTCTGTCCACTTCTTTTCATATCTGTAGGCCAGCGCTTGTGGCGAAAGATAATATATGGGTTGTGCCTGCAGAGAGAAGTAGTAACCTCTTGTTTTGGGGGCACTGTGTCTCTGTAGGAAGAAGAGGAGGGTTCTGATGAGGACAGCAGTGTGAAACCAGACTTCACAGTTACCGTGAAGCCAGATTTCAGTGTGCGGAGTTTCTTGGATCAACTAGAAGATGAGGCTGATGGCTTCATTTCTCCCGTGGATGATAAGATGCCTTCAAAGAGTAGCCAGGACATGGGGCTTTCTAACCTTCATGCTGCTTCTATGTATGTCAAGTTTCTTGTACTAAGCCAAGTGTTTGATTCCATGCAACAACCCACAGCATGTGATTAAATCTCACTGAAGCCAGAGGGACCTTAGCACATGCTTAGCTGTTTTGCTGATTAGTAGTGGGATACTTGACATTCTTAAACTTAAGAGTCATGTCAATTTGTTAGGGAGTGTTTGTTGGCGTGGATCTTTATGCTACGTATATTTTTGTAAAATTACTATGCCATTCCTGTTTTAAATGTCTATGTAATTTTACATCTGTAATTTAACCCTACAGGCCAGAACTCTTAGAACAGCTCCAGGAAGTCAGGGAAGAGAAAAAACAGATCAGAAAAAAATTGAGAGAGTTTGAAGACAATTTTTTCCGACAAAATGGAAGGTAATTCATTTCTCACTCATCTGTCTGTCTGTATAACTACTGCTGGAAATACTTGCTGAGAGCATAAGGCTGTGAAAATTAAAAGTGCTCTATGTATGCTACACAACTAATCCTCACTCCATCCATTAAGATGGGTATTATCCTCAATTTGTTGACGAGGAAGCTTGGATGCAGAGCATTTGTCCCAGTGCCTGTTGAAGTTGGTGAGAATCTTCCCATTAATTCTGTGAGACCGAGCCCATTGAGGTTAAGAGTAAAATTTTCAAATGTGCCTAAACCCCATTATACTTCACAAGGAATTAGGCTCCTAAAGGACTTTAGACCTTTTGACAATTTTGCCCTAAATCAGCAGTGGCACCAAAAGGAAAACCTCTGTGTTCCTAGCTCCCCCTCATATGCTCACATAAACCATGAGAGAAAATCTAGAGCAGTGGTTCTCAGCCTGCAGCCCACTTTACAGGTGGTCCATGGCTCAAGCTCAGCAGTACTAATTTTCAGTGGCCAACTTCCTCTCTTTATAGCCCTCTCCCAGACCCTCCCCCAGTGAGATGTAGAATAGATTAATTCCCTTTCAGTCCCATGAATCTATCATTACTGCCAGAATTCAAACACCAAAAGGATGTGTCGGCAGGTTTGCTAGCAATATCGGACGCATGAGATCCAGCAGAAAAGTTTGAACTACAGCATCTCTCAACTTTCATTAGGATACTAAGGCATGAGCACAGTGCATCAATGCTGAAGGAGTGAAAGATATGTCTAAGCCCCCTTTGTGCTGTCTGTATTTTCCATCTTGTCAGAAGAGCAAGTCCACCTGCTGTTGTTTTTCTCCAAAATGCCCCATATCTTGGGAGCTTGAGGGGGGTGGGGAACACAGAGCTATTACATTGGTTCTAGCAAGATAGGGAGTCCCCCTACCTACACTGGGGGTAAGACTCTGTCTGGTGAAGGAGCTGCTGCTGTGGCCACTTGATTCTGGCCCTGGCAGACAGAGCAGCCATGGCCAAACGGCCCTGGAAGACAGAGGAGCCCCTGCTGCAGTCACCTGGCCCCAGCTCCGGCCTCCGGAGCAGCAGGGAAGTTATGTGGCCCTGGGGAGTTGGGGACAGTAAAGAGCTGCCCAGCTGAGCCTTCCCCGTTCTCCCTCTTCCCC